CCTTATTCCCCTCCACCACAATACCCAAAATACGCAGTTTCACGCATTTGGACACACTCACTACATATCCAGGGATATTGCCAAACACCCAATGGCTGCCCCAACACGACGTCAGCTGGAGAACTTCCGGAGTCCCGGAGTGACGCGGGACTACTTTGCTCAACACTCGCCTCGAGGTGCATTCCCTGTCGGTCTCTACTTCAAACGTTAACTCGGTCATCCCCTTGTTGGAGGCGAGGTAATCAACGACTGTGGAGGGCACACTGTGGCACCTGAGCGTGATGGAGGGAATATATATCCCCCGCTGGGAGAGCTCCGTCCAGAATCCGGCAGAGGTATGATGGAGATCGACATTAGATATCTGGAGTGACCTCAGACCGCGAAGGTGTTGGAAACGTGAGGGGCGGCGGTGATACTACCTTCCTTCAGCAATAGATGACGAAGCGGTATAGTTCTCGTTGCATGCTTTGGAAACACGCGTTCTATGCCGGAGACGGTAAGACTTGTCCTTCTGTTGTCCCACCGATCAGCCAAATGCAGAAAGACATCAGACAAGTGCTGATTATTCGAAAATACACGGGCGAGCGTCTTCTCGATTGTTGGGGTAGAATTGTTGGAATAGCCAGTCAGAGAGAACTTGTGGATATTTCGAAACTGTGATAAATGGGAGAAGTACGGAAGGGTGAACTCCGGGTGGGTGAGATGAAGATCGAGGGAGGGCTGCTTCATCAACCAATTAAACGTGTCTTCTACAAAGTATGGAGGTACTTTGCGAGAACCGTTGCTGATACTGTGACCGAGGAAAAAATCAGTGGCATGATCTCTCTTGAGGTGTGGCTGAACTTACCACAACGTAAAAGCTCGTAAGTTGGTCAACGACGCGAACGCTCTGTTATATAGCGCGCGAAACTCTGCTATGTCGCTCTTCGTCTGGAGACGTGGATGGGTCGAGGGAGAGTGGTTTTCTGAATTGCTACCCTCAGCCACGCGCCAGTGAGTCGGGGGATGTTGCTCGGAATATGAACCCCACACACAAACTTTTAGCCGATGGATATAGTTCGCAGGCGTGTGGCTGGCGAGATATTTGAGGGCATCTTGATCAGAGTATCTTAAGGGGAGGATGAGATTGATCAAGATGGCTGAGAGCACGGTAGCTCTGAGCACGTCGTTCAGCTGATGGCATACGAAACGCAGGGCTTTCTGGTCGCGTTTGGACAGCTGAAGGCGACTAATGAGATTGGATACTGGTATATGGATAGACAAGCTTACGAAGGATGCGATTTCCTGGAGTAGTTCAGCGGGAAAACTGAGCAGGGGAGCAGGGAAAGGTTTTCCTAGACGCTTCACTCTCCCGAGAGGCGCTCGGAGCTTGGGCTTCAACTTGAACTTGAACTTTAGCTTGGAGAGATGCATTGGTTTACGAACTAAAGACAAACAAAGTCAGAACAAAGTTGAGAAACCAAGGAGAGAGAGAGCCACGTGAATCCCACCTTGGAAAGATAACCAAGACAAATTCGTCCCAGGCTCAATCGTGCTCCCAGTGGCACTTGTTGATAGAGAGCATCCCCAACCAAAACTCGTCGTCCTGTCGCTTTGTGTTGCTCCACCTATTATAATGATCGAAACCTCGAAACCGCAAGCCATGAGGATGCCTCAGCTTTTCCTCCTCATTCTGTTATCGCAAATATCGGCTCTTCCTGTCATGGGCACTCTTTCGCCCACCACCAAGCCTTCCGCGTCGCAAAATCAGTTGCGACCCAAGGATTATACCACCAAATTCCTGGATCCCTTGTCACTTCTGGTAATTAAGACTACCAGCGTGGAGCCCTGTCGTCGCGCGCAAACTGATATCCCGGGGTAGGACCAAAATCGGCGGGCGACAGCATCACCGTTCCTCGAGGGCTATCATATTCCTTCTCAGTATCTCTTTGCTATCGTCATCGTACCCTTCGACAACAGGAAACCAAAAGAACCGTGCAGACGCCACGTCTTCCGATCGCGTTTTCAAGTTGTCACCCTGACCGCTGTTCGAATCTCCCACCTTCATCCTACCCCCACGCAGATTCGACGTGAAATTTCTGCTTATGTCTGATAATTGCTACCCGGGAGGATCGCCACTGGACCGAAGCACGCTGCTCTGCCGACTATGTGCACATCGATCGCGGGACTGGCATGCCAGCCCAAACACGCACCTTTGCCGCCTGTGGAATAAATACGGTCTCCTGATCTCCATTTTTCCTAAAAGGTCCACGCGTAATGTTGCCGATGCCCGATGCCCGAGACTGCAGTCGCGCTAACTATTAACCCGGGACGATGTCTACGACAATCATGCTGCTACACTGATTCACAGAGCATTCATTGCCTCGAAGGAGAGAACATGGCAAGCTTCTTTTCACCTGAAAACCCAAAGACAGAGAGCGAGGCAGCCTTTTCTGCGCTGTCTTCTTGGCTAATGTCACGTTGACTGTTATTTTGACAAGTTGCCTATATGCGTGGTCGGTAATTAATGTCTAGGACCTGGGAGGATCGCATATGAATCGCAGCAGATCGCAGCGCCTAACTCAGTTGCCTGCAAGCGTAGAGCGATCGCACAACTGCCAAGTCGGTGTTACCGCCGATCCTGGAACGAGTACGGTATTCCTCTATCCGGAAATCCACACAGGACGTTGCTCATGCTCAATGCCTGTGGAAACAAGTAGGTCTTGAGACAAATCTGGAACCCTATGTCCTCGCCGAACGTTGTGGAACTGCGCGTAAGAAAGAGGGACGAGACTCGAGAGGATCCGGTCTACTCTATCACCCCAACCAGACCTTGCTACTACGTAGCCATCTCTGTCCCCAGTCTTTCAGTATCGCTCGACCTCTACATCAGCCACAACCCACTGCACCATCCATTAGTAACTATATTCGTCTTTCCTCGATGGCTGTCACCGCCAAATCCTTTCCTCCCCGTTCTTGTGGCAAGCATCTTTCCATTTTATGCGTCCTTGTACGCTTCAGCGACATCGACAGACGCAAATCGAAGGCAAAAAAGTCATTGTCGTGAGCAGATCAAAAGAAGGGTGCAGGTGCCGTTTCTTCGGTGCAGAAAATGCTGGTACTTCACCGTACGCGTTTTCGTCGTTGATGATCTCGCCAGGACATGGGAGGATGAAGGGAGCTAAATATGGGCCTGGCTGATCGGATGGAGTGTTTTGGGCGTATGCTTCTTCGTCCTCGTATCGACCAAGCTTCAGCTTGTTGCGGCACCTAAAGACGAGCTGGCTAAAGGATAGGGCGTTCCTTCGGAGCACAGCACCTCTACCTGTTGCCTGGGTGCATAGATCGAGCGTAGGACCAGGAAACCAGCCTAATCCCCAACCCTTACGTCTCTCGGAACGAAAGAAGTTTCCTGCTCGCCTTTAGTCCAAGTAGTTTCGAGCATAACGACGCCGACGCGGATGGTGAATGTTGACGAACGTGTGTGGCTCCGTGATTTGCCCTGTGTTTATCTGATGGCGTTATGCGCATCAAAGAGGAAAGAGAACCAGGAGTATGATCTCCGTTGACCCTCCTGTGGTCAGAGTGTCATCGTGCTTCGCATGCGAGGATATATCACAACTCCTCTGAACGAGGCCAATCGGAAAAGCTATTTTTCTTGCTCGAAACCTGCGCCGAGGTCGCTTCTTCAGGCTTGGTATCGATCATCTCACCCTCCATCCTCTCAATGAAGCATTTACTGGACTACCTTCACCAACACCTTTCGCCGGCTTTGATGATACTGCGCCTTGTTAATGACGAAAGGTATGAAACTGGCACGAGGACTTACGGATCTGATTTCCTAGACCGGTCTCCGTGCCGTCGATATCAAGAGCAATGGAAAGTCCTTGGCTCAGCTGTGCGGGATGGCCGATGCACTATGGACTGTCAATCTCGATGTTCATCTTCCGGGATCTACAGAGGTCAGGGTTGGTCAAGGTTATGAATCTGTAGGACATGAATTACGGGGCGTACCTCTGGAACCATGTCTTTTCTCCCCGCTGAACACAGGAGGCCGGGACACAAGTATAACAGCTCCACTTGCTACGACAATCGGATATCCTCCTCCCAAGGCTTTGTCGCATGGCCTGTGGCTTCTGTTCTATCCCATCATATTGAATTGAGGAGAAGGGGAGCTGTATTGAGGTCGGTATGCCGGAAGCGCTACATTGGCGAGCATCATGGAGTTCAGAAACTTGGCAACACGAGGCTTCCGTCCACCTGGACCTACAAGTTCAGATGTCTCAGCTAGTCAAGTGCACAGTAAGTACGTACGTGTCGGCCCTTGTACGTTGAATCCTTAGCATGCATACGTCTATCGTTGGTCATTGTTTACAGGTAGACCAGTGTCGCTAAACTTTCCGTGATGAGCATTTCAGGCCAAGAATATTCAGATAATGAGGTGCAATTCTTGCGACGCAGGACATGCTAAGCCAGGACGGCAGGTAGATGATGGAGAGAAGGCAAGAAGATGAGTCAGCGTCAGTGACTTCTACTCCAGCATCAACGATCAACGATCACTACGCTGTGTCTGCAATCATGCGCCTTACCTACTGTAATCTGCCATGGGCTACCTTTTGGAATATCACCAATAATCAACTTTTATGTTACGGAGCAGGTCAATCTACGTCCCTGATTTATACGTGAACAGGCGGTGCCTTTGACGAGTCGGTGTTCACCGCCTTTCAACTTGACAGCAACTATATTTTCCAAAGTGAGTCGTTTGCTGTGGATATCAACTGTACTAACTTGGGCCCCATTGCTTTACTAGTATGGAAGACGCCGGTGAGAATTGTGCAGAATTACCTCCGAATCAACCTTCTGCAACTGGGGGTAATGCTCGTTCAAGAGCTAACTCAGGAGATCATAATGCCCACAGGAACCCTCCAAGCGGGACGTTCTTTGGACTGAACAAGAATCAGCTGCATTCGTGAGGAGTTGGTGCGTTCAATTGGCTTCGACTGTTCTGCCGTGATATTTAAATGGCTTCAGGTGCTACTCCGCGCGACTATAAGGCCCGTTACCCCCTTGATCCTTATGGCCAAGAGATGTCCGGAAATGCTCGAATATGGTCTATCTACCTTGAAGAAGCGGCTGATTTTGATGCCAATATGTTGGCAGAATGGCGGGATACCATCGGTGTCCTACTTGTGTTTGTGCGTCTCGCGTTTCCTTACAAAATATTTCTCTGAAAAGTCTAATACTATCATAGGCCGGTCTTTTCTCTGCGGTACTAACAACATTCGTGGTACAAACGCCGCAAAACATGCAACCAGATTACGGCGAGGCATCAATGCTCCTTCTCTTTGAAATCCTCAAGGCCACTGCATCGAATCGTTCCCAATCCTCTATTCCCTCCTCACCCATCGCCTTCTTTAGTGCCAGTCGTTCCGATGAGTGGATGAACAGCTTGTGGTTCGTGAGTCTAACGTTCAGTCTCATCACTGCCCTCGTCGCCATTCTGGTCAAACAATGGCTCCACCAATACGTCGCCGTCGTCTCCGACAGCTCTGCGCGCGACCGTGCAAGAATCCGACACATGCGATACGCTGGTCTACAGACGTGGCAGGTGCCGATGATCATCGGCTTGCTTCCGGTCCTCCTTCACATTTCATTGGCATTTTTTTTTCGCTGGTCTCGCTATTTTTCTGTTTTCTCTAGGCATGAAAGTGGCGTGGCTAGTATCGACTACTGGTGCAGCAACATATGTGGCCTATATCATTGCCCTAATCCTTCCCTTCATATATCCCTACTGTCTATATAAGGTCCCGTTAACGCTTTACGCCCACCGTCTATATCAACTCGTTAGCAACTGTTTCCTTCCACATATCATTTTCGCGCCACACTACCCCTTTCCCCACATGTTCCACCACGACAGCTGTTTTCACCTATCCAGGTACCACAAATGGCACCAGGATTTCATCCATTCCCGTCAAAAATGCCGCACTCTGAAGGACATCGAACACAATTATGTTCAGGAATGTGCCCCAAAAGTCGATGCGCAATCGCTGCATTGGCTACACTCCTCCACGTCTAACGCATCGGTGCACCAAAGTGTGCTGCAAGCCATTTCCGGGATGTCGTCTGACGCTACAAGGTATCTCCCAGAAAAATACAGATCCCCATTAGTGGTATCTCTGCACCAGCAGATAGAACGCATGAAACCACTCGTGCCATCTCCTGGTGCCAGAAGCGAAGTGGTTGAACTAGAGCTCTACTGCCGAGCATTATCGCTTCTCTGCGGTCATCTCACAGTCAAATGTTCCAACGGGCAGCTGAAAATGGCTTTGTACTCTATGACAAGCCCCGAGAAGGCGTCGTCTGTTTTTCTTGGAATTCTTCAAGGCCCGCTGCACCATTTCCTCACCTTGCCTTCATTAGTGTGGAAGATACTAGTCGACGTGGCTTTCTCCTCCCCGACCCTCCGCAGTGGTGTTCTGGAATCAGAGCTCGAGCTCATGAAAATCCTTGCAGGGTCTGACTACTACAGGCGAGAATGAGGATGTCACCACTATCGACAGGCCTACAGAAGAGGTGAAGGAGCACATTCTTGACAAATTATCCGTTTTCTGGAAGTATGATCCCACTCAAACGCCAGTAGCTACAGACACTTCTCTCCACTTTCGTGCTATGGCTGTATTTATCCCTCAGATACATCAGAGACTGTGCGATTCAGTGTTTGCCTTAGAGCGAAAGCAGATAATCGACACCTTCCAGCCTTTCCTCGACATCATTGAACACACCCAGTACCAGGCCGAAGAATTTAAACCCGTCCTCAACACGCTATACTCCCTTCTTTCCTCCGAGGTTTTTGCCACTGTCGTCGACCTTGAAACACTCGTTCGCAGGATACTCACGGTTCTCGACGCCCACCAATATGTCCAAAACCTAACTCCAAATATACGGTTCCATTCCATTGCTTATCAGTGCTACTTTCGTTCACAAACAGGCTGGCACGAGAGTCGGAGAACGGCGTGATTACTCCCATCCTAGGACAGCTTCTATCGCCTTCTTTGAACGAACACGAAGAAATCATGTTCGAGCTCAACTTGAAGGATCCCTTGTCTTCCATCTACCAGCGGCGGTATTGGGCAACCCGCTTTTCTGTCAGCACACTCTGTCGCGTTATGTTGCTTCTCATTAACGAACACAATGAGGCTATCCTCTACGAGTGGGCGCGAGATCTTGCCATGGAAGATCTTTGGCCGGAATGTCTTTGGCGACTAGCACGGTGGACATCAGGAGAGCAACTCCACCAATGGGCCTTTCTCAAACGCGTTCTGGCTATCGTTGTAATTCGGAAGTTGCGGAGCATGCTGGGCTATGATGATGAGGAGTATTTGCCACGGTATGAGTACGAGGCCCACACGGATGTAAACCAGTCGCTTCGGCTGCGTGAAATTTCTCCTCCCGGTTCATCTAGGTGAACCCGTTTCTCTTTGTTGATTCGTGTTCCCACTATCTGACGGTGCGATAGTGACAATACAGTGGAATGTTCAGAAGTATGGACTTTCACAACATAGTCCACTTCCTGCGCTCATTAATGCTAGCTTGACCAGGACCATTCTCACCATCCATTGCAAGAAAACGTAGGAAATGGAGATTCTCTTATTGCATCGGCGGAGGGATTCGGAATATAACAAACGTTCACGGTCGTCATCCAATAACCCAGGAGATCCAACTTGTAATCCAACTGTCCAAAATGCTCCAGCACCAATTAAGCTCTTCCAGTCGCCCCTCCTGCTTGACTTCCGGAACTGGCCGTGGCTCCAATCTGGATATGCTCTTCAAGAAGTCAGCGTTTGAAGGTGGAGGCTGGACATACACAATGTCGAACCCCACTTCACCGATGTCCACAACTGCATCAGTTATGAGTGTCTCGAGGATCGGACACCTCAACTCGTCGATAAACAGGAGGGCGAAATTGGCCCCTTTGAAGGTGACCTTGCGGACAATAGGTAATATAAAATTAACTAAACCCTCATATCGAAGGTACCGCTCCGTTGAGAGGTAAAGGAACAGACGCCGGATCTGGTGCATCCAATAGTCGTTGTGGGGAAAAATTATCTCTATCTCGTCAACGCTGGGGGGCAACCTACTCGGGGCCCGGATTATTATTGGTTGCTCCCGTAGGTCATCAATGATGAAAGACACCCGACGGAGATGGAGATGAGGGAACAGGAAGGGCCAACTGAGATTAGGATGATTTTTGTGAGACATGATTACAGTTATCGAACGGCAGTGGGAGGATATGTATTCGGCGATGGGAACAATTTCTTCAGAGTCATCCATGCGAAATAGAGAATGTTTTCCCTTTTCCAGGAAAATAAAATGGAGATAGTAGTCGACATATGCGCGTGAGGGGACGAACATGTCGATGAATGAGATACGGTGGTATGCACGCAGCCAGAACCGGCAGATGAGGGGGAATGTCTTCATCAGATGAAGACGGTCTTGATTGTCCAGCGGAAGGTACCAGCTCTCCGCTATGATGCTTTCGAAGAGTTCGACAGGAAGTCGTGCCATCTTATGATGTCGGGAGCAAGAAAGATACTGACGAAAATGAACTTTGCTATGATGGTGGTAGGAATTGATGCGTCTCAGATATGTGAGACAGGGAGTTGCCGAGGTTTCATCACTGATAAGACACTGCCTATGGGCCAAACGTTGAGGACAGGTCACAGATGCTGGTAACTCGGCTTTAATATGCGTCAGGGCGCTACAGCTTGAGCATCGGGAATCCGGGTTATTTTGAAGTAGGACACACTTGCGCACCGGAATTACAGGCTCCCGTAGATATGGGCCTCATGGTGCAATCGGATGACACTGTTTTGGGGAAGAAGATGAGAGTACATCTTTTCAATGGATGTCGCCGCTGTTGGTGAAGGCTTGGACGTGTCCCTGGGTGTGATGCTACGCAGACGAGGCGCATCTGCGGGAACGATACTCCTCCAACACAGTTGGGACGAAGAGGAGGACATTGGAAAGTGGAACGAGGGATGCGTACAACGCGAATGTGTGATTGGAGGTTGGTTTGATGTGGAGATCAGATGGAACACGGCAGGGAGGCGGCTGGGTCTGTTTCCTTGGCGAATTAGATACGCAGTGAACGTCTATGCCGCAGTTTTGACTTGAAATCGTTCCAATGAATCGTAAACGCGAGATACTGCATGTCTTGTCAAGAATGCCACGACCAGCGTTCGAGGTACAGATAAATGCGACATGTAAGGTTGGATATGACGTAAAACGAATGCATGTCCAGCGTAAACAGCAGCGAATCTTGGCCCCCATGGAAAGAGAGCACGCAGGGAAATGCAACGTTCGCCTTTATAAACGAGAATCGTACTTTTGCGAGGTGTGGTCGAGGATACAAGAAGGTGAAAGTAAACATTACGCAATCGTACGTATTTCATATGTGCCGTAGGAGAGACGTGGCTACCAGTGCGTCAGGTCTGAAAGTAACTGAGGGCGCTTTACATAAGGTCTTGGCCAACAGGGCTTGGGTGCATGGAACTTCGCAGCTGGGGGTGCTTGTCGACGCGTAGCTTTTGAGGGTAACCCCGTTCTATCAAAAGTTCAGGTTAAGACGTTATACACCGCTCAAAGCAGCATTAACGCACGCTTTTGCTGCCTTCACTTGCGGTACCTGCCACTGCATTGACGAAAGTCCATTTATCGTGACTTCCTTCCGCGCACCAGCAACTTCAATCTCCTCCTTCAACGCTGTCCACATACGCCCCCAATAGCATCTGACCCGCTCCCCATTGCTTAAGGCCGATTATGTCTTTGTCTGCCGAACAGTTCCTTCGAGAAATCGAAGGAAAGCATATGACCATCGCACTCGAGGACGAGGAGGAGGGGTAGGAGGAGATCTGGAAACACGCCGGGTGGTAAGTTCCCTCATTCCTCGCTGGCGTTCAGGGGTGTTCACTGTCCCTGCATATCGCGATCTCTCTGATTATCACGACGTCGACGCCGCACTAGGCCTCAAGATCCGGATAAGTTTACGCTGAGATGACGTGTCGCCGTTCAGCGAGCAACATCCTAGGGTGTGGCAGGCAGACAGGTGGCGGGAGCGCAGGGACGCGGAAGGGAGGATGACCAGGAGAGGTAAGCGGGCACCTTCTTCTTAGGTCTATGCGCGTGTGTCCAACCGTCGAGTTGTCAGTAGTGTCGATGTCCGAGCCGACATCGCGAGCAAAGTCAGTATCTGATGCCAGCTGAAGGAGACGGTGGTGATGATGGAGAATGGCAAAGACGGCGGCAGATACAGCATTGCTGTGTTGCCAATGTAAATTCCCTTGTGTAGCATGGTGTTTTACGCCTCGAATCGCGCGCAACATTCTGGCTGGAGATCCTTTCCTAAAGACATCGATATTGGGCTGGGATCCACAGGCTGAACGACGCCATAAAATTGGGGTATACCGCTTTCCGTTCAATCGAATCCTTTTTTACATGATGACCGTGAAATGCTACCGGTCGGGGTTGTCGCCTGCAACAAGTTGTGGTAGCAGAGCTCTGATCTTGCCCGAGCTGCTGAGATACCATAGGCTTGAGAATAGATGGACCAGGCTCGTGAATCTAAACGACGCGGAGAGGATGGATGTCCAGGGTTGAGTGATTGAGTGGGTAAGATGAATCAGCGACCGCGGCGGCCCGGAGCAACTTGAACCTGCATCGATTTACTCCAAACTTCAGCTTGAGGCCCAGGCTGTTACCAGCTCCACCGTCTCTTGCATTGTCAGTTCGTACTAAGATATCATACCAAGGTAACTACCAACTCGGACCAGCCAAGTATCGTCATGTAATTAACTCAGTACTCGACGCGGCCCTATAGCTTCAAAACACCTCCCCATTCTCAATCATCTCCTGCAATTCATCCCTCTCCTCATCCGTCAAGTCTTGTATCAGCGAGCAAATATCGTGTATCTTCTTTTTTGGGCAGTCACGCGCCAAGTGACCGTGTTCTCTGCAGGTGAAGCAGAGACCCCGTCTGCGCATCTCTGCAATATGCATGGGCTCCCCGTACCCTCCATAGCTCGTGTCAGCACCCTTCCGCTGGGTAACCTGCCATCGCCGATTATCATCGAATCGGATAGCCTTCTCCTTCCAAAATCCGAAGGTCACCGGTACCTCCGCCAGATCGATGGCAATATGGATTCTCCGGACAAGGTCATGATTGAGCGCTTGATTGAGCAGCATAATCATAAACTCGTCATGATCCTCCGCCTCATACCCCGCATATCTCCGGGTTAATTCGAAATGTTCAAAAAAAGCCTGCACATGTGTTTTCCCTTGTCGAAGTGTCCTCAGCTCGATTCTGGCTTTTTCCTTGAAATGAGGGTCCGTAAAGGTACGGTCGAGATCATGCAAAAAGTCAGAAAAGGTTCCGAACTCGAGTCCGTTAGGGCTTCTATGGGCGGAAATGTAATCCTGAGCCCAGTACATGGCTGACTCTTCCGTATGGTATAGGACAAACAAGATCTTGGATTTGTCGTCGGCCGGAAATAGCGGGTGGGTTGCGGCATCCGAATGCAAAAACATCATCAGGTTGTCTCGAAATGTGTGGTATTCGGTGCGGTCACCATCGAAAGATCTCATAATTTTCGGAATCAGTATATCACTCATTCCGTTACACCTAAAGACTAGGTTAGCTAGACCAACACTGCGACGACTGAAAGGAGCTGCGTACTTTGTAGGTAACAGTGGTGGTGGTGAAAGAAGAGAGGCTGCCTGACACACACATGCGTTGCACACGATTTTGCACCTTGACGTTTATTGCCACCGAGTTGAGTCCCATGATGATGCTCAGTGAGGTGTGGTTGATGATAATGGGTCCTGAGGTGCTTCGCATACGCGATGATATATAGCTGAGATGCTCAAGAGTCTTCAATCTTATTGAGGACTCTCGAAATGATGAATTGGCGTGTCGTCTCGAGTACCTTGCAGCAGCGTGTCAGGGGGCCCGTGGGTGAAGATCAGAATTAGCATATCCATCATATCACGTTGATTGGCACCGAGATATAAGGGGAGATTCAAGTCATCAAGTCGGTACTGGGGGCGCCGCCTATGGACATTGGATACAGGTTTCACTGGAGGTTCTATATGTCCAGACAGGACAGTGCTGCAGTATCTTGAGCATCTGGGTGTTCAGGATGTAATGTACTGAGTAGAAGAGACTCTGAACACGCTTCGTTAGTTTTGAATTCGTATATATAGAATGAACATACATAAGCACGCACCTAGAAAAATCTCCCACCAAAGTAGAGCTGCCTGACAAAGGATGCAAAACCCGATCCTATGACCTTCCTGCTCAATCTCCTTCAAGCTGAGACATCTCCTCCCTGTACTCTTGGTTTTCACCGATGACCGTGAAATGCTACCGGTCGGGGTTGTCGTCTGCAACAAGTTGTGGTAGCTGGGTTCTGATCTGGCCCGAGCTGCTGAGATACCATAGGCTTGAGAGTAGATGTTCCATTGCCGGATTCGTTGGAGTACGAGAGCGATAGCGTGGGGTACGGTAGTGGAGTGGTAGTAGACGGAGGAGAGGTCACTAATCGGCAGACTCACGTACACGGGTTCTTCGGTCCGCCGCAACTCTTTCTTTTACTCTCATCATTGTCAAGGAACTCAGCAAAAACTATGCACTTCCTCAGCTTTTGCAACATTCTTGGTGACTTGGTAAGTCTGTCTATGCTATTGAATCACATTGAACTGAAACGAGACAGGTGCAAAAACAGCTCCATGTGAAACTACGCTGTCGTTGTCTTTAGACACTTACCGCCATGCCTCCATCGCAAACCCGAGAAGAAGAACTAAAGTACTACCACGAAATCTCCGAACCCATCGACGAAGCAACCTTCACACACCACAACTCGCTCATCAAGCCAATCCGCCTCTTAAACGCAGACCCAACCCGGGACTACTCCCCTCTCATCCAATTCATCCGACGAATCTTAGTCCACCTGACGGTATCATCCAAATATTGCACCGGGACGATAGGGAGCTATACGATGATGTTATGGATCATGAGGCGGACGCCTAAGGGCAAGGTTGCCATGCAGAGCCTGTACCCGAATTCAGGTGATGAGGTACTGTCCTATGTCCTGCCGTACATCCGGGAGACCCCGCCTGCAATCGCATTGGAGGACCGGACCCCACCTGAATGTTCCTGGGGATCCTGGCGCGACAACGAGATTGTGATTTCCCGCGAGCTTGTCACGACGTACCTCAACCTCGAGGTCAGTTCGAGTTCTCCCCTCTTTACCGTATCTGACAGTTGTTTAGAAAAGCAAAGCTACCCTGGACTCGGATGACGAGCGTTGTCTTGTATTTCTGCAGACAATCATCCTAGTCACCTTTCTCCACGAGCTCACTCACACCCTCATGAACAGGATCTTCATGGGCCGGCTTGGTTCCTTCTTCGAATGCGGAGACAACGTACGCGATATCGGGGAACACCTCGAGAGATCCCTGTTCACTGACTCGGTCTTGTACGTCGAATGGCTCCGGGCTGATTTCGAGGATCCGAATCCGAAGTTCCAGGTGAAGAAGATTCGAAGTATATGTTCGCAGCCAGTTGAAACTGGGGAAGGGTTTCACAGTGTCTGTGAGTGCATTCGACTTTTGGGTTATTAGCCTTTGACTGATTTCTGTTAGTGGTGGAGGACTTGAGGACGATGCTGGATTCTATCGACAGGAGTGAACTCTTTAGCCCAGTGTTTTTACTCCAGGATGCGAAACCTAGCGATATCATCTCTGCTGACAGCGAGCATATACGCCTACGTATCACACCTGAATATTCACTGCCGGTGCTCAATCAGTGGGCGATGCCTCTGCCTGTTACTGAGATAGGTCCGGATTCTATCATCATTGAACCGGCTTGTGGTCGGTGAGAACACGCACAATAACTAGTTCCATGCGGCGCTGAGCAGGGGAGGGTTGCGGTCTGGGAAGGGGAGGCGATGTATCGTAGACTTGCTAAATGGAATGAAATCATGAACAAAAAGGAGAAACTGTTCCCTCTCCTGCCGCAAAAAAGCACGTCTCACATCGCTTTTCCCTCAGAATAAATTGAGTGTATCCAAGAGCCGTTTTGGAAGAACGCGTACGCCGACAGTGAAATATATACATTGAAAGGTACGGCTTAAATGGCTTTATTGCTGACATGAAGAGTACTGGTAAGAAGATTGAACACAATCCGAACTTACGCACACGCATCCCTCCTTCTCGATGACACTGATGCTTGCCGGCTATCGACACGTCGCCTCGAGCCAACTCCACGTGTCTGCTTGTTCGCCGAAGCTCAAGCGCTCATACATCATTTCGGAGCAAAACTCCCACCAACGGCGCCGCTCTCGTGTTCGAAGGACATCGCTTGAGCCCAAAATCTTGTGCTTGGGGCCGCCATTCAAGGAGCGGAGTTGCGTGCAAGAGAAGGGAACGGGATCAGGCTAAGGAGGGATTTAGCGCTTAAGATTGGTCGAGAAAGTAGGAGACTTACCGTCCCCGGTGCATCTGCCGCCGTCTCTTCTGTTCTCCGTCATTACCGCCGTCCCCTTCAATCACTCCTCCGGCCAGTATCCGATACTGACTTTGCTCGCGAGACGACAGTATGTCGTCTCGAAGCAAAATCAGGTTTCCTCTGATCAGAAACTTTGCGCACGGACGTCGGCATCGATGAAGACTCGGGGGTTGGACATGCACACCTAGAGAGGAACGATATCCGCCACCTATGAAGAGGGTGAATGCCTAGGAAGTCGAATGTATGCGAGTAACTTACCATTCCCAACGTCTGTGGTCATCCTCCTTCCCATGTCCCTTCCGAGTCATTCCCGCCACCCGCCAGCCATCGCATGCTAGGCCCTTGCTCGCCGGAAAACGATACGTCGTCTCAGCGCAAAATCCAGGTCTCGAGGGGTCGACGTCGTTATCCAGACGAGGAGGAAATCGGTGGCACCGTGTACTCCCCAAGGCTATCACCTTGCTGACTAGAGCGATCGAGATCTGTGGAGAGAATGAGCACCCCTGAACGTCAACGAGGAGTGAGTGAACATACCATCTCGCGTGTTTCCAGATCTCCTTTTATCCTTCCACCACCTCTCTACACCGTTACAATTCACTGGAACCTCTCGTCACTGTCGAGAACGACAAGCATGCCATGCTGCCCTCCACAAGATGTGTGCGATGCCCGTCATCGTCCCGGGTAAAGTCTAGTCCTTCCGTTTGCAGGAATTCGATGTCATGGTCATCGCTGGCAGGCGGTTAGAGCGTTGCCAATCCAGGATGACGTTGATGAGAATCAGGAAGGAACAGTACACTGCGGAAGGACGATTAGAACAAATGTATCACTCAGTGACTTGTAAACGTACCTTTGACTTCATGTTGGGGCTTTGAAGATGCCTCCCCTACACGCGTACACTGAGCGGCATCAATATAGCATTAAAGTCCTCCTTGTCAGTGTGATTGCGCTCGCCATGGTTTTTTTTCGAAATCGTGGCCTTGATCTTGAGGTCTTGAGGTTGCGGGTGGTAGAAAAGTGAGCTAACACTAATGGTAGATACAGCCTCAAGCAGGTGCAAAAAACACTTACAGAGCGTCAAGAAGGGAGAAGAAGGGAGGCCATAATCATTGTGAAGAGTCCTGGAGATCGTCGATAGACGAGAAGGAAGAATGGTGGAAAGAGCCAATGGTAGCAGTGAGAGAAAAAGAGCGACTCGGCTGTATCCGAGGCCGGGTGTCATTAATTATAATTAAATTTGGGAATTGACGTCCATCTCGAGTTTGTAGTAAGTGTTACAATGAGGTTATCCTCCACGAGTGGGCGCGAGATCCTGCCATGGAAGATCTTTGGCCGGAATGTCTTTGGCGACTAACACGGTGGACATCAGGAGAGCAATTCCACCAATGGGCTTTTCTCAAACGCGTTCTGGCTATCGTTGTAATTCCGAAGTTGCGGAGTATGCTGGGCTATGATGATGAGGAGTATCTGACACGGTATGAGTACGAGGCACATACGGATGTAAACCAGTCACATCGGTTGCGTGACATTTCTCCATCCAGTTCATCTAGGTGAACCCTTTCCTTTTTATTTATTCGTGTTCCCACCATCTGACAGTGCGATAGTGGCGGACAGCCCGACACAGTGGAATCCTCACAGCTATGGGGTTTCACGTTGAACGTAATCCACCTCCTGCGCTCATTGATGCTAGCTTGAGAACCCCCAAATCCCAGGAATTTCTTCATTCTCACCGTCCATCGCAAGAAAACGTAGAAAATGGAAACCATCTTACTGGATCGGCTGAATCGAGTTATATCGAGTGAGAAAGAACAGGGGGTATTGCAAACTAAGATAGTTGCCGAAAAGATGAGGAGTTAGCTTCGTTCATGAATTCTTTCTTCATCAGTTAACTCGCTGCTACTGTTTTGTCGAGAACAAGTGTTGAAGTATATGCGAGTAACGGGACTTCTTCACACCTCGTGAAGATATCATAACTTCAAGCAAAGTGAACCCTGGAAGTAAGATGGTCGCGAAAGGGTGGCCAGGATCAGTCATTGAAAGAATTCCCGTTTCGGCGACCGGCCCGAAACGCGTCAAGATTTTTTGACTTCAACGTTCGACTAGCTATGTCTGCCAATAGATAGACCCTGTATCTACCACATTTTCCTACATTGGATCGGATATCCACACGACTCCTTACAATTTACTGACAACGCCTTGATATTATCTTTTACAGAATGGTGGCACAACATGAGCATATGGCGCCAATGTAGCACGGTAAGCGCTTAGCGCCTTTTCTTCCTTGACAGCTACTACACTTTCTCAAGTAAGTCGTTTGCTATGGATGTCGATTGTACTAATGCCATCTCTGTCAGTATGGCAGGCATCGATGATGTTGGAAAATGCGAGATGATTCTGGCATTCCGGCATGCTGAGTAAGAAATTGGTAAGAGAATGATTGTATAGAAATTACTAGAATAGGCATAGTTTAGTATAAATATGTGAAGTAAATGGACAAACTCCTCACGAGTTTGTAACCCAGAGACTAGAGGTCTTGCAAGCATTGTACTAGGATACAGTCTGAAATACAACAGATGAGAACTCTACAGAAGCACCTCCGAATCAGCCTTCAGTAACTGAAGAACATACTCGTTCAACTGAACCTGAGGCTCAGAGAATGCCTCCAAATGGGACATTCTTTGGAATGAACAGGAATCAGCCATCTTCATGAGGAGTCGGTGTGTTAAATTGGCTTTGACTGTTCTGCTGTGATATTTAAATGGTTCCAGATGCTACTCCACATGACTATAAAGCACACTACCCTTTTGATCCATATGGCCAAGAGATGTCCTGTAATGCATGGATATGGTCCATCTACCTTGACAAAGTGGCCAATTTTGATGCCAATATGTTGGCAGAGTGGCGGGACACCATTGATATACTCCTTGTTTTTGTGCATCTCAGGTTTCAAGTCAGGCTACCAATAGTCTGACAGTGTTATAGGCTGGTCTTTTCTCTGCAGTATTAACAACATTTGTGGTCCAAACATCGCAAAACATGCAGCCAGATTATAACAAGGCATCTGCATGTCTTCTCTTTGAAATCCTCAAAGTCACTATGTCGAATGGCTCTCAGTCCTCTATTCCCTCCTCACCTACTGCCTTGTTACGGTTTCACCATTTCTTTTCTTTTTCACCATTTCTTTTCTTTTTCTTACATATTCATGATTACTCATTTCTCACATCGGACTTCTATCATACATTTTCCGCATGGTTCATACTATTATTAGCACATCCCTCATGTATTTAAGTAGCAGCCTTCACTGGCCTAAACCCCAGCTATGGCTAAGGTTTATTCTACCCAGTCATATTTCCTTGCTGCGCAACTATCTAAGTTCGCTCGCTGTCCGTTACACAAGTACAGACCTGCAAGTGTGTTTGCCACTGAAGTGTGAGTGGCAGCCCTTGTTTGATCTTATTTGTTGGATTGGTGGCTAACATTTAGCCATAGCTCGACACATGTTGCCCATTGTCGTACTGTGTGCGGCGCTGCCCAACATTTCAAAGAAAATTCTCCATATTCCCATAGCTGGCCCAGAGAGGTCACTGTGATACATTCGTGAGGACAGTCTCATGACTGTTAGCATATCCTAGGAGGACCAACAGAAACCAGCACTTTCCACCACAACCTTTATCTGACATCACATGCCGATCCAGGACCTACTCCCAACCCTATCCATTGCCTTCATGTTGTTCACCCTAGCAGTACTGGTCATTGCCTTTTGAAGCATATACCGGTGTTGTGCCCAAGCGACTGAATGGCAAGCCAGATTACCATTTCACTACGTTCCCCCTTTCACTCCACACCTACCTGTCCCATACCCTGTAGTTCTGTACCCTCACATGGTACAACCAATGCTACATGATGGACAACCTATCACATCCCGAGAACCAACCACAGGATCCTCCTCAGGATCATCCAGCTATGCCATGACCAGAGAGTCCATCAACATCACAGACACTGGGCTCGCTCCTGGACCAGGCCTCTTCAACCAGTCTCGCTTCAGAAGCAAGTCAGGAAGCGAAGAAGAAGGGGCTGTGGGGTCAAGTGAAGGAGGCTATCTCAACCTCTGGGACGAAGAAGGCCGGAGGCTCCAGAACTTCCTCAAGAACGACAGGGGCGGCGAAGAAGGGCCTGACCCCAATACCGGAGAGTTCTACCTTGCAGCAGAAGCAGACACTCACAGGGCAAGCTTCGACGACTTTGGAGACAATGATGGAGAGCTCAGTCTTGGGGCCTCCGCCACAAATACCGCCAGAGCAGGTGTGCAGACGAGTCTGCTAGACGTGGAGTGGCTGCAGGTGTAACACACTAACTTGGATTGTTCAACGTTTGCCTCTAAACTGTCACTCGCATTCGGTGATTCAGTTGGGAAGAGGGCATTGCAATCACTAAGTCAGGGACAATAGTCCTTAGCCTGATAAGCAGGGAGTTTCTGTGTGAAAAGTTAGGAGTGTATAACTTTAGCCGAAGCTGGGGTGTAAGACCACAGCAAGGCTAGACTTAAATACATTGCGGTATATTCTAATAGGTACCCGTCCCAAAGCATCACTGTCTTCTAGGCTGGTACATTTGGTATGCTAGAAGGCCCCCTGTAAGTAAGAAGACTAGCGTTCGTATGGTGCTATCTTCTGGGAGGTATATGTGGCCTCCTGTCTGTCCTAGGATGTGATCAGAGTCAACCTAAAGAAGTGTGACTGGCTGAAGGAGGGTCAGGCCCATAGTTGTGTGATCAGATCTATGGGCCATCAAATGGATCATGCGTGTGAACAGTGGATCATGCATGTGATTGATCAGGTCATGAATGATGCAGATCAGGTATGAGGAATGATGACAAGAGTCGAATGACGAGTTGATGAGATAAGATAAGATAAGCAAAAAATAGGGGTGATTCATGACATTACCCCTCGACTAAGACTCGGTCGTCCTGACTGAGTCAGTGTCGAATTCGTCCTCCGATTCGGTGTGTGATAGAAGGTATATTGAATTTTCGGATGTGGTTCTGCAAGCTGGATCCAGGGAATCCAGGAAGAAAGTTGAGTTCTCGGTCGCTGATGTCGTGACCGATTCATTGTCCTCGTTTTCTTCCTCAAGTATTGCTGCCAAGTGTTGCTCGTATTCGAGCACTAGCTCTTCTGCATTGGCTAGTTGGCTGTGTGGTACCCAGGTGGCTTCTTCAATCGGGTATCCCTTCCATTTGACAAGGTATTCAGTGATGTGTTTTCTTCGTTTTTGTTTTCCTTGTCATATGGCTGTTTCCCTATCTTGGAGGAGTTCTTCTATCTCGTATTCTTCTTGTTCTTCAATAAGTTCGGGAGGAGGAGGTCCCGGCTGTTCTTGGTTCGGGAACCTCAGGGGAGAATATGGAGTCAAATAGACTTCGTTAAACCGGTTGTGGATTTTCCATTTGACCGGTAGTCGAAGTTCATATGCTGACGACCCTTTCTTGGCTATTATTTCAAAGGGTCTGACTTGTTTGTTGTCCAGCTTTTTTGCTGGTCGTGGCAGGTGTAGGTTGGTGGTGTCTAACCAAACTTTATCTCCTGGTTGGTAGTCTCGGGGTGGTTGTTGGTGTCGATCATATGCTCGTTTCATCATTTCTGCTGCTTTTGTCAAAGCAAGTTTTGCCTGTTCATGGGTTTGGTGGAGGGTTTCCACCATTGTGGTTACTGAAGGTGTAGCTGTAGCTTTGAGTGCAACGGGTCATATCTGTCCATCCTGTCCAAATAGGACTTTATATGGGGAGTATCCCATTGTGCTATGTTTTCGATTGTTGAGGGCATAGGCTGCTATGAGCAGCCAGTCACTCCAATCGTCTTGTTTGAAGTTAACAAAGTTACGCAGGTACTTTTCAAGCTCCTGGTTAACTCGTTCGGTTTGTCCATCTGTCTGAGGGTGGTACGCAGTGGAAGGGTTGCCTTGGATATTTAGTAGGGCATATAGTTCTTTCATGTATTTGGACACAAATTGTGGGCCTCGGTCTGAGATTATTTTGGAGGGGGTAACTCCAAATCGGCAGATAATCTCATCTCAGAGAATTTTGGCCCATCTGGTAGAGGCGATTTCCTTTGTACAAGGTACAAAGATGTTGTATTTGGAGAATCAGTCGACTATTACTAGGACTGCATTGTAGCCTTTGGATTCAGGCAGTCCGGTGATTAGGTCGACCGATATATGTTCCCATGGTTGCGAGGGTATTGCATTAGGGTGGAGGGGAGCAGCGCGTTTGCAATGGTCTGGTTTAGTTTTTTGGCAGACCTCACATCCCTTCATGTATTTTTCTATGTCCTTTTGCATTTTAGGCCACCAGTAGTCGTGAAGTACCAATTCTTGGGTTTTTGCGATTCCTGGGTGTCCTGCTGTTATATGGTTGTGGGCATAGGAAATTAGTTCCCCTCATAGTGGAACATCCTTCGGGATATAAATCCTTCCATCATAGAATAGAAGGTTTCCCTTCTGTTGAACTCCTTTTTCATGGCCGAGAGAGTCAGAGACTCCCTTATCCCAGAGGTGAATTTTATCGGTGGCCTTTGCTATTTTTTGGTGAATTGCCCCTTCTGTAGGCATTATCAGGGCTCTGAAGAGTTCAGGTTTAAGGATGATGATATCATCATTATCCTTTTTGCCCTGATCATGGTCCGCCCTTCGGCTGAGTAAATCTGCCTTTTTATTTGCTGTGCCTGGCTTGTGGTGAAGGGTAAATTCGTATTCTGCGAGCTCAGTGACCCATCGAGCTTGTCGACGATTTAACTTCTGGGGTTTTTGGAAATATTGGAGATTGGAGTGGTCCATCCAAATCTCAAATTTCTGTATGGTGCCCATGAGATAGTGGTGCCAGTCTTCCAGGGCAATCATGATGGCTAGCAATTCCTTGTCGTAGATTTCATAGTTACGCTCTGTGGTGGAAAGGGATTTGGAGAGAAATGCAACGGGTTTCCATTTTCCATCAGCCTGTTCCTGGGACAGTATGGCACCAATGGCGCCTTCGCTGGCATCTGCCTCTACTCAGAATTTCCCTTCGTTACTTGGAATGGTGAGAACGACATTTTCTAAAAATTGTTGTTTAATGGTTTTGAAGGCATCTTGTTGCGCCTTTCCCCATGTCCATGCTTCCTTCCCAGTAAGTCGGGTTAGAGGTTTGACATGGTGACTATAGTGCCAAATGAATCAGCGGTAAAAATTGGCAAATCCCAAGAAGGATTGTAATTCCTGTTTCTTGGTTGGCGTCGGCCAGTCCAGGATTCCTGCAATTTTGACAGGGTCCATTTTAATGGATCCTTCACTGACAATTACTCCTAGGTATTCGGTTTCTTCTACTTCAAACTCGCACTTCTCAGCCTTTAAGAAGAGTTTGTTTGCTCGAAGTATTTGCAGAACCTTCCGAACTACAGTTCGGTGTTCTGCTTTGGTTTTGGTGGTGATGAGTATATCATCCAGGTAGATGCTGACCAATCCCTGAGCTATCAGGTCTTTGAAAAGGTCATTCATCATCCATTGGAAGGTTGCGGGGGAGTTCGTGAGCCTGAAAAACATGACAAGGGGTTCATATAGGCCTCAATTGGTACGGAAGGCCGCCTTCCATTCGTCGCCCTTTTTGATGCGAACATTGTTGTATCCCCATCTTACATCTAGTTTGGTGTAGTACTTGGCGCCCCGTTGATATGCCTGGTATCAGGCTACCCATAGATTTTGCGATTTTACATCAGTTTATGCAAGCTACAAGTGGTACAGAGAGCTACAGTGGAGGCTTCGCACTGGTAGCTAAATACTACATAAAGAATGAAAGCATGGCAGTACAGAACAGACTTAGAAACGATGTCTCGAAGAGTCAATTCTACCAGCCGTCAACACGCCAAGCTAAGCCCTACCTAAACAAGACTATTACAGTCAAATCTCAGGGACTCATCTGTATGGAGTATAAAAACCAAGAAGTTGAAGAATGGAATGAACTAGATGCCTCGTCACCTCGACGAGTAGAAAGAACCTGTCAAGGAAACTTGCTAAGTCAAGAAACAGATCAGCTTTCGAGGTCAACTCAGGATAGGAAAGGAATAACCTTGGAAGAATGAATAGCCGCATTGGGTACCGAGATGACTGACCTTGATCGCACAGTGATCAACAGAATATAATCTCGGACCTGCAGTCGATCGCGATCGGTGGTTACATCCTCGAGATCCTGCGCATACCGCAGTATTCCATACATACGGCGCGTGGCAAGCCTTGCAGATGGGAGAAGGAGCACCCATGGACTAGTAGGGCACTCCTCGGCGACAGAATAACCCGGCGCAGTCACGTTGAACTGAATAGAAACTACGGAATGGCGTGATACTTGTAGGATAGTGACTCACTGTTTGTATTAATTCCAAAGCTCATACCATAATTACTGTAGATATGGGCTCCTATACCTAGAACACGAATCGTATAAATTAGCAGTGACTAGACGCATAACGGCAGGAAAGCATTCCCCTGCGTTTGTGCTAGTAGCCTGTATAGCTACCTAATCAATCACTGGTTTTATTGCATATCCTCGACTGAAGTGAATTAAGTTACCAAAGTCAACCCATAAGGGTGGCTACAGTAATCTAGAAGAGTTAAGTAGGAAGTAGAGCCATCCCCGTGTTTGCGCCTTGCTAGTTAATTGAACTGCTCCATGGACAAAGGCCTCGTGCTCTCTCTCTCCGAGATTAGTGATCTAGATGCGCTGAGTCGACTTTAAGTCAAAAGACCTCATCTAGTTGAAGTAAAATAAGCCCTAGAACACTTTAAGTTCAAACAATCGTCGAGTTCAAGGAACTCCAGAGTCTGTGTACTCTTTGCAAGTCTTGTACTTGAAGTCAGAACCTGTGTGTTCTTTGTAGATCTCGGAGTCTTTGGTTGTTTGATTATTTGAAGTGTCCACTAGAAGCTCTTCTAGACAACGTCGAAACGAGTATAACTTGCTCGACTATACCTTACAAAACAAGTTCATAAAACCCCGCTATCACGGACTAGTGTACTTTGTGTAAAACACATCGAAAGAAGAATTGAAGTTGGTTTCAGACAAAACCCCATTAGATTATCTAAATCTAAGTACATCGTGAGTGCTTCTATCATACTCACCCTTGAACTTATATACATTGGTGATAGTGTGTGTGTGTGTGTGTGATTTAGTATCTAGATTGATGATCTAGACGCTTGTTTCATTTGCATGCTGCCCGTTACTGAGCACATCACCGTAACCTGTCCATTAGCTCTGATATGAGTGGGAGAGGATATCGGTTCTTAATGGTCATTTCATTAAGTTTGCGATAATCCTGGATGGGTCATAGTTTTCTGTCTTTCTTTTTGACAAAAAAGAAAGGTGAGGCCATGGGGGATTTCAATGGTTGGATCCTTCCCGTTGACAAGTTTTCGTCTAGGAAGTGGTCGAGTTCATTTTGTTCTTGAGGATTCAAGGGGTATACCTTGCAATCCAGGCTGGCATTGGCATTGGGCACTAGCTCAATGGCATGGTCCCATGGCTTTCATGGGGGTAATTCATCAAAATTTTCTTTGGCAAACACATCTATGAAGTCTCGGTAGACTTTGGGTACAATTTCTTCAAAAGTTTTTTCTTTTTTATTGAGATGGGCCTGGGCAGCTAGACTGGTAGATTTAGTCCCCATGGCTCGTACATGGAATGCTTGTTCAAAATCTATCACTAGGATTTTATCCCCTTCTTCGACTTCAGTTCCCCATCGTTGGCTCAGGTCTTCATCAGGTAGGCAGAATAGAATTTTCCGGCAATCACACCATGCCAGGGTGACAGTTCCAGTGTTCCAGTCGATCAGGGGGTTGTGGTGTTGTAGCCAATCATGCCCTAAAAAGATTGGTGTGGTGCCTAGATCGACCATGGCCAACTCTATTCGTTCGGTATGATCCCCGATTGCGAGGCGGACTTCGACGTAGTTGGTAATGTCACCCCCCATGTTTTGGGTTCCATCAGCATTGTACATGGGTACTGGATGCGCAGCAGTTCAGGTGGTGATCTGGTGCTCCTTGACCCATGTTCGGTCAATAGCACTTCCTGTACATCCGCTGTCTACCAAGGCTTTAACCGGATGTTTAGCCAGGGTATCATAGGTTTCCAGCTGAACGGAAATGATGACATTCTGCCCCTTCCTTCCTCGAATATACTGTGGTGGCTGCTGAAGATTGGCCATCCATTGTGCTTTGTGGCAGGTCTCTGCCCACGTTTCATGAGGACATTCTAGTAGAGCCTTTACTAGTTCGTCGGTTACTTCCTCGAGGCGTCGGGGGTGGATCCATTGTCGTAGGTGGGCTTTGGCAGCATCTGGGGTGAGATGCATAGCTCTTTGGACCCATACTGATTGGTAGGGTTCTAGATACTGTTGGTCCAAAGGGTACTCCTCTGACGAGTACTCGAGGTTTCCCTCTTTCGGCGTCGGGGACTTCCCCTTGTCACCGTTCACTGCAGGATTTGTGGCCCTTTGGTCTTCTGCAGTTACTGAGCTTCCTGCCTGTTCGCTTGTGCTACTAAGGTCTTTTCCACTCGGGGATGGCCCGCACAGTCCGGATTTTTGAGAGTTCCGTAAACTTTGTTGGTAGCTGAAATCGTCTTTGTCATCAGGGATTTCAGTAATAGTTACCTGGGTTTGATTAGTTTCTCAACGGCAATTGGTCATCAGGCCTCCATGGGCCCTATGCAGGAGTTGGTCGCTAGAGAGGTCTTCACCTCGAGCAGTATGGCTTTTGCCCTGCGAGGTCTTGTTCAAAGGGTCCTTACCCTTGTCCTTTATCCTGGGAGTGCATTGGGTAACCCTTCGTGGATGCACACATATTGGCTCACCAGGAGGTTCTGCATATGCAGGATCCCCCTGGCTCCTCGCCTCAGCTGCTTTTCCAACATGAGCCGTTACTACAATTGGGGTAGGAGTGGCGGCCCAGGTTGTTGGCCAATTGTTCCCAGGACGGCTGGGCTCAGCCTGTCCCTGGCGTGAGGGCCTCTCTGTTGCATCTGGAACTTTCCCCGCACCAGGTAGTTTGGTCTTCTCACCCACTGGGAGCTTGGTCCGAGCTCGGGTGTCGATCCTGCTTCCAGGGGTGATAGAGGTTACTGCCAAACCTTCATCCGGTAGCTCTATTATGCTGCAGGCTTCTATCATCCCTGCAGCATGGCCCTCCGCTTTTCCGAGAGGTTCCCCGCCATCACAGAGGGGCCTACTCGTTCTTGATCCACCGCCACCAGCAGCAGCGGTTCGCTTGCTCGTTTCTGGAGTTGCGCACGAGTTGCACCTAGTGGGGTTCACTGCTGATACAGTTGTTGTATCGACAGAGGAAATCCCTCGTACTCCATTTTTTGGTCCCTTCAGTGTCGATCCGGTGAGAACTGAAGTGCTTGTGTCCCTCGAGGGTTTTCCTTCTGCTTTAAAACAGTTCGGGTTTGGGTCCGCTAGGCACTCATCACCATCGGCTTCGTCCCATTCCTTACCTGGACATGTGCTCCCAGGGTCAGGTGTTTCAGAGCAGGGGAATTTTCTGGTTTCCCCGTTCTCTGAGCACTTGTCCGACAAGCCAGCACGAATCCTAACAGGATTCTCGACTTGCCTGCCACATGCCTCCTTGCTCCGGTTTGTTCTCGGGTTTGGGTTCCATCCGTCCCCCACTTGGGGCCTCTCCGTCCGACCGTTTGGGATCTTCTCTCCCCTCCAGCCCACTGGAAGGTTGACCACATGTTGTGGCCTGCCCAAGCCTGTTGCCATTAAGCTGCTTGGGCTTGCTCCTCGAGGTAGATATACTCAGGGTCTATTGCCTGTTGAATCGACTTCCGATATTCGGGAGTCTCCCACATGAGGACTTGGTGGGTGAGGTTCTTTATCGATTGACTAGTCCTGGTCAATGCGAAGGCGGGAATCCTGTTCTACGTCATGCTGAGTTTGGGATCAGGCATCGTCCTGGCAAATATCACCCTGTGATTCAGTCTGGGTTTCTTGAGAACATGACAAAATAAGTATATTGTCCGTTGTAGTTCCTACATGTAAAGTATCAACATTAAATTTCATAATAGGATGCATACTGTTTGAAACACAAGTTCTGGTCGACCGAGGTGAATCACCTAGTCCTCGGTCGACTCTTCTTTTACCTCTTTGACCTTTGTCATAGCGGGGGTTTCCTCCTGTTCAGCTTCTTCGATTAAGGCTCTTAGGCGCTGTGTGAATGGCATCGCTTTCTTTGTGAAGGGTGTTGACTTCGGTTTCTTCATGCTGCACCATTTGGACTTGTCGGTCAGGCATTTGTTGTCCCGACTGATGTGTCCCATATTACCACATCGAAAACATCGCCTCTCTTTCTTGAGACGGTCGATGTCCATGGGTTTGCCTTTGCCCCCATAGGTGGTTCCAGTAGCGTCTCTTTTATTGCTTCTGCCTCCCCCTGAGGTGCTGGCTTGTCCGGCAGATCCCAATTTGGACCCCTCGGTTCCTGTGGGGTGACCCCCATGCTCGGCTACCCCTACTCGGTAGTTCTCGTCCATATGGCTGACTCTGTCCTTCCATTCGTAGTAGCCTTGGGGTCAGCGATTATCACTTCCCATGATGACTTCTTTGACGCGAGGTCGAATGGCCAGTTTTACCACCTCTTCCATTTGGTCCATGTTGTCAAATCGTTTCACCTTTATGGCTAACTCTTCGAATCTGTTGAAGAATTCCACCGCTGACTTAAATTGTGACTGTTGGAGCTTCTTCCACTCGATTCGTTGAATCTCGATCTCCACCACTTCTTGGAATCGTCTTCGTACTTCTTCCTCAAAGGTTACACATGCAGGGTAACAATGACGGGAGTTGTGGGAGTCCCAATATTTTTGTCGTTGGTCTACCCACCACTGCTTAGTGTGTCCCTTGAATAGGGATGCTGCGAATACTACTCGGTTGGGTCTGTACCCATATGTCGCATTGAGGGAGAAGTACTTTGAAAATGTTTCAAAGTAAGCATCACAATCGCTGAAGAACTGGTCGAGGTCATGGGATTTTCCATAGAACCTGTCCGGTTTTTCTATGAGTGTGGGTTTAATGTCTCCCCAAGGATTAGGCTGTCCTGCCGTAATTGCCCATCCAAGCGGTGGGTCAGGTGGTAGTGGTGGATTTGCAGGGCGAGGAAGTGATCGGAGATTTTGATCACTACGCGGTGTAGGTGGCACCGCTGGAGGGGGTGGCGCTCCACCGCCTCCACCTCCACCTCCACCTGGTCCGCCACCTCCTCCTCCAGGTGCAGCAGGTGCTGGCCCACTCCCTTTGCCGGAGGTGGGGGTCGTTGCAGTGCCTCCCATGCTTCAGAGGTGTTGGTCTAATTGTTTTCCACCTGCAAATAGTCCTGAAGTCTCACCAGGCCTTGTAACAGCGGTGGTGGTTTGGAGAATTCCTAGGGTTGAAAAGTCCAGTTCTGAACTTTCAATACTGGGGATTTCATAACGGCCTCCTTAGAGTAGTTGCCGGTCGGGGTGTAGGATATTCCAGTAGTATATAGCAATATATTGAGTTTCTTGTGATAGAATGTCCCTTTCTAATTGGGAGCCGGGCTCAGCCTGTTGATAGGCTCGCCCCTGTGGGGTGGTGGACCAGTATGTTTCGTGGAGTAGTTTGTCGTGCGTATGCCACCAGAACTGGTCCCAGTTCATCCTGTAGAGTTCTTCGTCGGTAGGGTCTATTGCTGGATCCCTGGACAAACTCATTGTCCTCCTCATTGAAGGGGGTTTTGTTTGCATATTCTCCCGCATGGGTGAGCCTGTCGATTTGTATCCTGGCTCTAATCCGCAAGTCCAATCGGTCGAGATGATCGGTTGGGTGGAAGATGGGTTCATATCGTAAGAGATAGGGATTTCCGTCGATCCATATCTGGTTCCAGTTCCAGACATATGTGAAGTATCTTCAATAGTTCTCGAATATGGCTTCGAAGTCCTCTCTATCATAGACCCACCACTGTAGCTCTCTTTGGGAGATGAATGGGGGTTCAACATAGAAGGTCAGTTCAGGGGTAAGGAAGGGTTCGAGCTCTGGGTCGGGCCCAACTTCGTTATGTCGGGCTCAGGCCAGATTCCATAGTCGTCGGCAGATCCAGCACCTGCAGTGAGGCCAATCTGCGAGATCTGCCTGATTGAGCTCTGTCTCGACGAGATTCGATACATCAGTAGTTCTGGCAAGGGATTGGGCTCCTGTGAACCACCAGAGGACAGTGTCCTCCTCGTTGGTGTCTGCAAATAAGATTCTTCGCTCCCACGGTGGGGAGTCAGCATGGGGGTGTTGCTCGAGGAGCTTGTTGGTATCTGTCTGTTCTCCCCATGGGTCTTTGTCATCGGGATAGTATGGGGTCTGGGCCCCAGAGAGTCTTGGGAGTTGGAGAGGGATAGGGTTTTCTTCCTCGGTGATAGTGTCGAGGGTTCCCCCAATGGATGAAGTGGCCTCGACTGGTGAGATTCATGCAGTTGTGGGCTCCCCGAAGGTGTTTGCCCAGGCTCTGAGGTCTGCAATGGTAATCGTGTTCCTGGCTGGGGCATGATGTTCCTCTTCTGCCCATTGTTTGAGCTCTCTGGGGTCAGGTTGGATTGGAGGGTCTGGAATGTATCGACTTGAGCCAGGGATTGGTGACGTATAATGTCGTGGAGTGTCAATCCTGTGGACTCATCGAGTCCCATCTACTGAGTACCAGGATAGCCAGCTGGAGGAGCTGGTCGGGGACCCAGGGCCTTGGATTCTTGGCTCTGGGGAATCCCTCGTCATATCCCTTGACTCGCCTTCCATTGTTGCGCCGCTTCTGGCCACAACGGGCTCTCCCCAGGACCGCTGGCTATGCTCGTCTGTTGACCGGGCACTTCTGGGGTCTGAACTATCTGGGCCGCCGCTGCTGCTTCCCACATCGCACCTGGCATTTGGTCATACCCACTCTCCTTCAATTGCTTCTGGTGTTGTACTTGGGAGACGTATTTCATGGCCTCGGTCGGTGAGGATTCTTCCTCTAGCGACATCAATGTAGATCCTTCAGGCTTCTTGTATGTATAGCTGCTCTCCGGGACTGTCTCTGTCATTGTTTGGAGAGAGGTTGTGTCATCTGAGGGTTTCTTCCACAAGGGTAGGCCTAATTTCTTTGCCCCTGCTGTCATTTTGCCCTTCCATGTCTGGCTGTGAGAGGACTCGGTCATCTTCCGAGACTGAGGGCTGCGGCGTGCTTGGGCGGAGTCTGATGGGAGTGAGGTGTCCGATTGAGGATTCATTAGAGTCTGTTACTCGCTCGCTCGGGAGGGTCGGTACTCTTTGTTGTGTTCGTTCTAGCTCGTAAGCGTATAGGAGGAGTGTGGATTCGAGGGTGGCTGTGGAATAATAAGTCTCGTAGTCTTCAAAGTTCATACGGTCACCGTCGGAGGTTGCTGATGAAAGTACTGGTTATGATTAACAGTATGACCACTGTTATCACTGCCAATCATAACAGGATTATGTAGAACAACAGTGTAACCGTTGATTTGACAGTGAGGGTATGTGAAGCAAGCTTCGGCTAATTGTAACGCACTAACTTGGATTGTTCAACGTTTGCCTCTAAACTGTCACTCGCATTCAGTGATTCAGTTGGGAAGAGGGCATTGCAATCACTAAGTCAGGGACAATAGTCCTTAGCCTGATAAGCAGGGAGTTTCTGCATGAAAAGTTAGGAGTGTATAACTTTAGCCAAAGCTGGAGTGTAAGACCACAGCAAGGCTAGACTTAAATACATTGCGGTATATTCTAATAGGTACCCGTCCCAAAGCATCACTGTCTTCTAGGCTGGTACATTTGGTATGCTAGAAGGCCCTCTGTAAGTAAGAAGACTAGCATTCGTATGGCGCTATCTTCTGGGAGGTATGCGTGGCCTCCTGTCTGTCCTAGGATGTGATCAGAGTCAACCTAAAGAAGTGTGACTGGCTGAAGGAGGGTTGGGCCCATAGTCATGTGATTGGATCTATGGGCCATCAAACGGATCATGCGTGTGAACAGTGGATCATGCGTGTGATTGATCAGGTCATGAATGATGCAGATCAGGTATGAGGAATGATGACGAGAGTCGAATGATGAGTTGATGAGATAAGATAAGATAAGCAAAAAATAGGGGTGATTCATGACAGCAGGTGGCCAGAGAGAGACAGAAGCAAGAGGCATACCAATCGCTTGGTATCCCTCTACTGGGTGGGTCTTCGCCCCTGAAGAAGCCAAAGGGTCTGAGGAGCAGCCCACCACGGGGCCCTCTGCCTCCCATTCCACAGAAGAAAGTACTGAGCCCTGGGTCGGGATCGACAGAATTGTCATACTCGACCCTGTGACCTAGCAGCAGCTATGGGATGAAATTGAGTCCCACAACCCTGACACCACCACCTTCATCTCTGCAGCACAGGGCTCACCCTGGCCAGATGACAAGGATGACAAGGATGACGACTTGAGCATCCCTTGAACACCTCCCACCTCCCGTGGAGTCTCCCCAATCCCCGCTTTCATCCCATCAGTTGCAGGAAGGGTGTTCCAGGCCCCCCTCCCTATCCTCCAGTGACCATGGACTCTGCCCCACCATGAGGTCGTCAAGTCCAACTTCAATGCTAGAGATGCCCGGCTCCTTGCAGCTCGAGCAGCCTGAATGGACAGAGCAAGAGCGTGGGAGGCACGCATCACTGAGTTCGAGGAGCATGCCATATGAGAAAACTTCAAATTTCCTCTCGAGCCCAATGCCACCGATGCAGAGGTATGAGAAAGAATGGAGCTCACAGGAAGAAGACTACGATATGCCACAAGACAAGCAGGTGCCAATGACATCGCCAGAAACGATGCCCTTGATGACTATTGCAATGAAGTCTGGAACGAGGACTCAGACCTTGGAAGGTGGAGAGCACGAAGGACCCGGAATGCCGCACCTACTGCTGCACGAAGAGATTCGTCCTGAGATAATGAGGCAGGTCCAAGCAGTTCTCACTAGGACTGTGACGACTGTGCCCATCATGCTATGGTCTCTGATGTGGGAGGAGCTGTATGCCATTCTGGCAGAAGACATAGTAAAAGACCCACAATGGATGATGATGGAGGCAGGGGAGGACTATCATGATGCATGCAACATGGGAGACGCAATCCTTATGTGCAATATTGTCGAAGTAGAAGTCTGGCACCGAGCCACCATTGTGTGGAACCTGTGCCATGATGCAAATCAATGGCAGGGCTGTGCACCCTACAGACGACCCATGGTAATGCCGCACCCATGGGAGATGGAAGGACTGCAAGGAGGAGGTGGTGGAAGTGAGGCTGGATCCACAAGCAAGGGCAAAGGGAAGAAGATGCCCCCAAGTTCTCCACCATGGAGACCTCCACCGGCCATCCCATATCACAATCGACCCAGGGGGTACCCATTGCCCTGCCACAATCACCACCTACAGTCACTACCATGGCCTCCCAATCCACCATTGCCACCGATACCACCCTCGCTGCCTGACACCCTGCCAGCATGGCAACTCGGTCCTGCTGACCAGAACCCATGGGATGATGTGAAACCGAAGTTGATCACAGTCCCAGAGTTCTTCTACAGGAAATCCTCAGACATCCGCAGGTTCTTCAATCACTGTGAGATGTACTTCGAAGTGTTCCCGAGACACTACTCACTTAACATGGCCAGGATCAACCCATATTGAATCACCTTCACACAGTCCTATCTATGAGGGAACGCCCAAGAATGGTGGGTGCACCAAGACCACCTGTTCCAGACATGAAAAGGCCATTGGAGGTTGCCATCATGGGATGAGTTCAGAGAAGCCATGCGAGGAAGATTCCACAAGGTGGCCGAGCTGGCCATCAAGAAGCAGCAGTGGAAGAAGCTTCACCAAGTGGACTTCAAGTCAGTGGTGGAGTTCTTTGGAAAATTTGAAGAGATGGCCCACGAGTGTGAGGAGTTCGACGATGAGAAGCAGATGTTTGAGACTGTTGAAGCAGCCTTAAGGCCCACAGTCATAACCACCATCATGCATGGGGACAACGAGTGTCCCACCACCTACGCAGAGTGGAAGTGTCAGATTGAGAGGATCGACACAAACTATCAGTATGGTCTTACGCAAAGGACCATCAATAAGCCCTCCCAGAACAATAGTTCTGGTCGAGGCAATCAAAACCAGTTGTCTGGAAAAGCCAGTAGCTCTGGGCATTCTGGCGATAAGAAGGATGCGACGGGGACGACATATGGAGGAGCTGGGCAGCTGATGGAAATTGACAAGCTCTGAAGCGAGAAGCGGTGCTTCAAGTGTGGGAATACGGGTTGGACCCAGGACCATAAATGTCCCAAGGACAAGGCAAAATGGATCCCCATCAAACTACCCCCCCACAAGAAGATCCCTGTGCAATGTCTTTGCCAACTACTCACCGATGCTGAGAAAGAAGAAGAATTAGGAAAGGACACGAAGATTGAGGAGGTCAAGGAGTCAAAAGACGAGCTGGCATCAAAATAAGCAATTCGACGGCATCGGCAAAGGATTTAGTTTCTCATGGTATGCACTTATCCACTGCTGGTCGGACTTATACTACATATGTAGGCACTCCGTTGATGAGCCTAAACTTCCATGGCAATGGCAAAAACCAAAACCCTAGAGGAGTTCATGGCAAATGGCACGTAGCAGCAATAAAGGCTTTGTTGTTGTGTGAGTGTTTCAGTGCACCTCCGTGCGATGAATTCCTCAAGAATGCAAGTATACACTGCGACTTTTCAGTCAGCGAAGTAGTACCCTTAATGATCGAGTACTAGAAAATGTTGGCTGTAAGCCGGGAAGGGTCTTGATAGACGAGAAGGAACGGAATCCGGTATAACTGGGAATACCAGCAAACTGTGAACGAAGTGACAGCAATTTAACTAGTAAAAGCCATGGGCGATGTTGACGGAATTAGAGAAAATGCTGTCAAAGAGAAATACCATTGGCAAGATAACAAATACCGTGACGGCAAGAGACGAAGACTGTAGTCGAAAAACGAGAAACTGGCGGTAAAACGAAGATAAGACTGGCTGGCGATGATATGAGGGGGAACTAGTGATGGCAAAACGATGGCTGGGACTGGGCTGGACTGAAACTGAAACTATACTGAGGTTAACGACAGCAAAACAAAACTGATACTAATCCTGAGTCTACACGGAGACTATCCTATACTGAAACTGACAGCAAGATACCAAATACCGTGACTGATGATCCTATACTGAAGCTGTTGACCGAAATTCCATGACAGATGCTACTGGCAGCAATAACGATCCTAATCTGAGTCCACACAGGGATGTTGTGGTAGTATGAGTTGCTGTGCTTGTAGACTGGACGTCTCGGGCCGGCTGACTTGTACTTCCTTTTTTGGTTCGATACATGTCTTTCCTTCCTTCCACCATCATGTACTCTGTTTTGCTGCCATTCTCCTTTACAGATTCATATTTTCTTCAATGCATCACTGTGTAGCTCTGGGATCAATGAGCACGCATTCCTCATACTTCTGCCTTTGGGCATCAATGCTCAAGACCAAGACACCAACGTTGAGGTAGCTCGCCTCACCAACAAAAGAGCTGTTTCAAACGCTGGCGGAAAGATTGGTACTGGTTGTATGAACATTGTATAGATATATTGGTTCGTTTTGTCTTCATTTTCCGTTTCTGATTTCCTTTCTTTGAGTTTCATCATCAATCCCCTCCCTACCCCATCCGACGTGAAGACCAACACCAATGGTGGACGACATCACCTCAGAGCGTGCTGGGAATTGAGAAATGATGGCATGGGCCACCGTTCGTATGCTGAGCGGGGCAGCACCTCTTCCTATGCCATAGTTGCGCATATCCCAGGTGGTTTAGTCTTGCTTGCGGTTGAGGTAACTGAGCTAGGTATTCGCTTTCTTCTGACACATTTTGTTATATAATATATCTACATACATGAATCTATCAATTATGGGCTCTGGCGACACAAGAGAACATGTGCGGCTACCCCCTCTTCCACATTTGTATCCGATTGACATGGAAATTTGATTTTTACCTTTCTTGCCTTACACCACGAGCACTGAGCCATCGAGCGAGCCCCCGAGCCTTCAGAATTGAGCCCAGTAAGTGGTCTCCTTGTTCCTCATACTGATTTACTATTTAGATACTTCTCGTATCAATAAACACGCCAATTCTTGTCCACACCTGGCCGATTTGCAAGCAACTCATGACCGAGCATAACCGTCTATGTCCGCTTCGACATATACTGTGACAACG